ACTGATTTTTCACCATAATTTGCTACTTTGAGCAGGTGGAATAAAGCAGCTTAATCAGGATTTGCAGAGCACTCAACCAGCAGGATTGGAGTAACTCCCCCGCAGACAAGGTTGGGATCTGGGAGCCTTCATGCCTGAGGGGCTATGGGTTGTTATGAGAAGGTTTCTCTTACCTTTGTGCAGTCACTAACAGTGATTATTGGGATCTGCTTCCCCCTGAAATCTGTACTCTACACTTTTTAGGGGAGAGATATCTGCCTTGCTTTAAGGTGCATTCTGAGCTGAGAGGGTTTCTGACCTGAGAGGGTCCCTTGAGGAAAAGCAGGGCCCTGTTTCCTCAATATTAGCCTCTCCCACCTGAAGCCACAGCTGCAAGATTCCCAACAGAGCACATCTTACAGGAACTACCAACAGAAGCACTGCCCTTCCAGCTGCTGGGACTGTATGTCTCCAGCCCAACTCCCTTCTGGGTTCTAGAAACAAATGCATTGCTTTGCACTACAAGCATCAAAATCTCCTCTCTGGGTGCCTTCACTACTAGGCTGTCAGTAAGCATGCCTGAGGATGCTCAGTAGCATCTGCTGCAGCTGCTGCCACTGCTTTACCATCTCTTGGCCACCACCAGCTGCTGTAAACCAAGGCTAAACAAAAGCAGAGGGAGAAATCAGAAGGGAGGAACAGGCAGAAATTGTGCAAAGCCCACACTTCTGCAGAGGGGTAATCAAACAAGTAAGTGCAGAAAGGCAAAATCAGAAGGTGGGGTAGGGTGTGGTGTGCACAAAATGAGGGGATAGAGGACTGGTTTAAGGGGAAAATATGATGGGATATATATATATATATATATATTATTAATTACCTGGGATAATTATTGCAAAGCCAGGAGATGGATCACCTGTTAGAGTGTGGGTGACAGAGTGGTTTATGTCTCTTACTTATCTCATAAGCAAGCTCCTTTTTGAGGGCCAAGGTCACTGCTGAAAATATTGAGCAAGACCCTTGAGAAACTTTACTAGTAGGTCTTTCCAGCCTAAGAGCTCCCCTTTTGCTACCTGTTGTAACACCGTCAAGTGTCAAATGAAGACCACGTACAGCTCCCTTGGCCAAAAAAACCCTTATCGTAGGAAGATATCAGGTTAGTTAGGCATAGCCTACCTTCTCTAAAACCAGGGTGCATTTAATCTCTTTCCATTTCCTTCAATGCTTCTCAATTTGTTGTAAAACTTTACATACTACTGAGGGCACATGAATAGGTCTGCAGTTGCCTGATTCACCTTTCCCCCTTTCTTAAATATAGATTACATTCATTGCTCTCTCTTCATATAGCTCCACCCCTGATTTAATAGTCATATTAAAAATCCCTACTACAGGGTTGCAGTGTCATTGATGTACCTACACGGATGCTAAATATCACAAAAATCACAAAAATCCTAATCAATCCAGACCCAAAATCACAAATCAGTTAACAATTGTAGAGGTGGGACAGGAGTTTTTGGAGCTGCCTCAGTGTACCCACACAGCTAAAGTGATGGTATGGGGAAAATCCAGCTTAACAATCATACACAGTGATGAACACATCTTCAAGCAGTTATTTAAAATAATGCCATGAATTAAATCTCCATGACTGAGGAAGGTACTGCAGGTTCAGCTTCCCTACCTTCATGCTGCTTTTCTAGAGGAAAGGAAGGGGTAAGGAAGTGAGGAAGAATGAAGGGAGGTCAGTTAAGTAGTGGGGAAGGATATAGGAGGGTCTTTCTACTTACCCCCATAATAGTCTCCCATATCTGCATTTGCTCCACCCTAGGCTAGGGGTGGGGGTAAAAAAAAAGATACTTAGAAAAAGTCTGACAAGGTAGAAAAAAATAATACTTAAAGAGTGGTTGCAGACATTAGTAAACTTAGATGGAAAATGATTTCTGAAATTATGGTGACCCCAGAGATCATTCCTACCCCAAAGCCCTTCTGGGTCCTCGTGATAAATGCACTGAACTACAGCAACCCTGTCCCAGAGCTCCTATGGGCAGTGGGGGAAGGATTTGCTTCCCCTAAACAGGAATCATCAGAGCCGCTGTCATCACTGCCCAGCGATGACAAGGAGGGAACATCCAAGTTCCTGGCTGCAAGAGGGAGGATTTCTAGGAAGATGCAGGATTGCTGCAGAGGATCCCCAACATAAAGGGGGACACAGGGTGCTGGCAAACTTCCCCAGATACCCCGCTCCAAGTCTGCAGCTGCAGAGGACACATTTCTGGGTGACACTGGCTGTGCAGCTCACTCTGCAGGTACCTCCATTTATATATATATATATATAATTTTATTTTAAAGAAAAGCAGGTTTCTGCAGTGCGAGGACAAAGATAAAGATGCTGGCTGGATCCCTGCTGGGTCTCAGCTCTGTCCAGGCGCCAGGGGAGGGGGAGTGAGTGTGTGATCCGGGGTTGCTTGGTCGGGGTGTAGAGGCTGCGTTAACTCTGTTTATCTTCCTGGGTCAGAGGCTCCTACCGCCTCTCTCGTGAGCTGGGAACAGCCGGAGCAGCTGCCGCTTCCCCCAGCGGGGGCTTTGCAGGGGCTGACCTTCGCTGCATCTGGCTCTGTGCAGAGCCGGGGGGCGGCCAACTTGTTGG